CCCCCCGTGTTTCAGACACATGATGCACGTGTGGAATGAAGGCCGAGATTTATCCTTTACTCCAGACGGTTACCAGGCCAACCCAAAACTGGTGGTGATCGTCCTAAATGTGGAAAGGAAGTGGGAGAAGGTAACAAATTAGTGCGAAAATTTAAAGAAAAAACTTTAATAAGATGTCTTTTTGTGGATTTTTGGAGTGATTTTTGGTGTGTTTTTCCTCCCGTGCTCACAGATGGGCCGCTGGGAGAACGGGACGTTGTCGCTGATGTTCCCGGTGTGGCCGAGGTATAACTCCTATGGGGACGAGGATGCCGATGAAAACCACCTCTCCATTGTCACTCTGGAAGAGAAACCTTTCGTCATTGTGGACAACGTAGACATCCTCACTGGCACCTGCATGAGAAACTCAGTGCCCTGCCGCAAACACGTCAAAAAGTAAGTACCTGCACCCACACCTGCCCACTGCCCACATAAAATCACAAGCCAGGTTGTTAGCCATACTTCGCTACAAGAGACAGATACCTGTTTGTTCTTCGAATAGGTTCAGTCTCATTAGGACACAGGTAGTGTTAGTTCATCTGTTTGTGTATCTCTTGGCTGAACAGAATCACACCTCTCTAACCAGTCTCAGTGTGTCTGACAGGATGATTGTCAATCAGCTGCCCTTTGTTCTTGCACTTTTCGGGATCTATACTGGGCCCACTCGTTTTTAGTTTATATAATAATGATTCACCATCTGTTTGTCCTCTAGTCTGAAATCCAAATGTACAGTACGTAGCTTGCACTGTAATCGAGGCAAACTCGATTACGCTTCAGCACAACTTAATACTAAACTCACAAACTCTGCATCCCATGTTACAACTTGACTGAAAACGTTCGCACTTATAAGAGGAGCAGCTTTCGCCTAGCTCGATTTTTGTATTCTTTTCCCGCTGTCTGTTCTTTGCCAGTGTTGTACAAGATAAAAGTCTTGTGTCAGAGACAGAACCGACACACACAGCCCGAGTTCTCATTTGGTTCAGAGGTAATCAGTTCTGTCAGCATTAATAATTAATTGCTCTCTGTCGCTGTCAGCTCGCTAATGCCAATCTGTCGGTATACTCGATTTTTGTTTCTCCTGCCGCTTTAGTGGCAAGTGCAGCCCTCTGTGGTTTTATTGTTTCATTAGTTCGGTTTGATTTGTGTTTTATTTTAAATGCTCTGAATGTGTTGCTTGTTTTTAAATATTGCAATACAGCTAATTAGTAACCCTGCTTATTGTTTTCCTCATATTGCATATTGTACATTAACACTGCTCTCATTAAGGCCGTGCGTGCTTGGATCCTGGAAGAATGTGGATATTACTCATAATGGGAAAATTAAACCCCCCAGTGGTACTCTGCACCTTTCATGATTTGGGTTTTACGTGTGACTTGGAGAACTTATTCAAAATATTATTTAATACAGTTTTTTCTTCCTGATTTTTGTTTTCTTAAAGAGGTTGGCTTGAATTTATGGGTTCAAAAACAACCAACGGATCTCTCAGCCTGAGCTTGATTATAAGATCTTTGAATCCGCAACGAAAAAAAGGCCATGTTGGATTTACTTGATTCAATAGTGGACATTGGTTGCACACAAATGTTTTGCTTTGGCAGAAACTTAAACAATTGTGTTCAATCAACGCAACTTTTTCCATAATCAATAAACATGTGCATTTTGTGTTCATAAAACACGACTGAAACATGTTTAGATGAAGTAAGTTGAGCTCTTGGAATATTTTAATCCTTCACAACTTTGTCATTGTATTTCAACACTATTCAATAACATTTACCCCAATACTACTTGCTCATTTAAATACTACATGTTGTCTTCATATTACATAATGTTCAACAAAGTCTAGAGTCTGGTAAACATAAAAATTTAATGGATCTACAACAACTAACATCCTATCTTTATCCTGGTTGCAGGGGGGCTTGGAAATAACCCTGAATTGTTAGGCAGGGTACACCCTAGACAACTCACAAGTCTGTCACAAACAACCATTTGCACTTACATTGACAGGTAATTTAGAATCATCAATTAACCTAACTCTAACAACTGCACGACTTTTACTGTGGGAAGAAACCAGAATACCCAGAGAGAAACTAGTGCAAACTAGCCAGATTGTGGATTTGAACCCAGGATCTTCTTACTGTGAAGCAACAGCACAAATTCAATTCAATTCAATTTTATTTATATAGCGCCAAATCACAACAAAAGTCGCCTCAAGGCGCTTCATAGATACAGAGAAAAACCCAAGAATCATATGACCCCCTATGAGCAAGCACTTTGG